CGGCCGCCGCCGCCTCCCACCACGGGGGGACCCGTGCCGCCGCCGCCCGGAGCTGCGATGGCCGCCGGGCCCGGCCCCACCACCCCTCTCAGCTCCGTCGCCGCCATGAGCCGCCGCCGCCCCGAAATACAGGACCGGAACCGCCTACGAGAGCCGCCCTCGCCGCCCGGAGCGCCCCACACAGCTAGCGCATCAGCCGCGGCCGCGCAGCGTCCCCGCCCCGCCAGGCCCGCTGCGGGAGGGAGGGCTCGGCCGCCGGGAAGGAGGCAGTCGATTGGTGCCGCTGAGCGTCACTTGCGGAGGACCCCTAGGACATTGGCATTTCTCTCGGGCCTGTCATCCCACACCGCCCAGTGAGAGCCCGGGGTGGGACGCGTCCTGCAGGCACGCCGCTGATTGGCTCAGGTGAAGGCCAATCAGACTCATGTACAAGCCCATTGGTGCTTTCCCGAAGTCTCCGGAGCTCAGGGAGGACTCGAGAATGCAGAGTGCCCGGCCAATTCGATCACCGATTGGCCAGGGTTTCCGCCACTCGTTTCAGTTTATGACCCCGTCACTGCCACGTCACCCCCTCCCATCACTCTTCTCTTCGTCCCATTTCCGCCCTTACGGATTGGTGGTTGGTGTCAGCTGCTCAGCCCTTTCTACCATTTGCTAAACGAGATGAGGAACAAGGGAAGGAGTCTCGTTTTCACATCCTCACTTTCCTATCTTATTGGTTCGCGTGCATGTCATTCACATGTTGGAGGAGAGACGGAGTGGGGATTAGAGATGATTGGTTCCGGATATTGTCTGTGACAGCTGACGCTTGGCAGTGCTGACCAATAACAGAGACGTAATGAGAGAGGGGCTGACTGGAGGCAACCAATAAAATCCGGGAAGCCCGCATTGGGGGCTTGCCTGGTTGCTTCCAGCTTTTCGGGATAGGCGAAGAGTCTTCTTCCCAAAAGCGTTTTTTCACAAAAGCGTTGGAGTCACTCTTCCTGAGTTAAAAACATCCGTATAGTTTCCTGTTGGGAAGAGTGACTCTCAGCAGGTTGCCACTGCCTGTGAAAAGCCCCCTTTTAGGGCCTCCTCCTAGCGGCTGGCTCTGAGCCGGAGGCCCGGATTGCTGCGGAGTCCACAAATAGCTTCCCCAGTTCCTTCCTGGGTCCAAGATCCTCCTAATTCCCTTCCCCGGTTTGCTCATCATCGCACCACACCCCTTAATTCTTCATTCCAGACTGTATGCTCTTGTCAGAGTAGGCAGCTAGTTAGGTTTTAACAGACTACCTGGAGTCCAGAAACGGGGAAATCGCGGCCAGCGTAGTTGTAAGAAAGTCAGAGGCCTGTCCTGGCAGAACTCCCAAAACAAAGCCACGGGAAACCGGATCAAACCAGACCGGCCCAAGCCGGCTGACAAAGAAGGCTGGAAACGCCCGACAGAATCAGGAAGAAAAGGCGGGAAATCCTGCTTTCAAGAAATCCCCGCCTCGGGTAATAAATATTCCACCCCCTAGTTAACAACTGTCACTAAGAGGTAGAAACCCAAGCCCCCCGTGTGCAGCTATCCCTCGAGCCGGCCTGCTCTCACATCTGCAGAGCGTACTTGCACTTTAATAAACTTTCCTGCTTGCACCGCTCATCCACTGTGTCTGGTCTGTCTTTTGAATTCTTTCTTTCGATGAGACCAAGAGCGTCCAGGGACATCCTTGGAATGGGCTGAGCAGAGGCCACAGGGCCCGGGTTTCCCCAGTCCACGGGCAGCACCTTTTTGGCGAGCCAGCCAGAAGGAGGTAACAGCCGTTGAGCGACCCTCTCCACCACTGGTGAGTCTCCAACTCTCGCCTGTCTTTGTGCTGGAGAGTTGCTTAGTCAAGTCACCATTCCTCCTTTGCTCTATCTACTCTCTCTGGTCTACCTGGGAACCGGATGTCTGGTAGCATTTATGAGAGACTAATTTTCAGCTCCAAAGAATAAAGGGACACTTGCTCCTTCCAGCCGAAAGGCACTCTTAGGTGACTGAGAGTTTTATGGAGTTTTATGGAAGTGTCGGAAATTATTTCTCAGGCCGTACAGCAGTCCCATGGGGCTTTGCATCTCCCTGGTAATTAAAACTTTGGCTCATCTGGCTATGCACACATAGGACTGAGCTTCCAGTGCTCCGAGCTCCTCTGGTTGTCTTAGATTTCTGGCGCAAGAAACCGAGACATGTAAGAGAGTGATCCATGGTCACTCGTGCAAGTGACACAGCAGCACACAGAGATCCTCTCCACTGGTCCCGAGGTGACTGTCTGAGATTCCCAGGCTGACTCTGTCTGCAGGAATCTGCCTCTTGGTCATGGGACACTGACCCACCTTGTCTGCCTTCAACTGCTTCCTCTCCTACTTACTTCTGCACTCTCCTCTGTTGGTGGTGGGGCACGGAGACCTGCGAGATGTCCTGTTCCCTGTGGCAGAGGTCCGGCACAACTGCCAACTCAGACTGTGATCACCATAAAGTAGCTATAAACCATTCTACTCCCTGGCAAAGGACCCCACTCCTCGAGATCTCTCCCTGTGGGTATGCCTTATCCACCACTTAATTAGATGTGACTCAACCCAAATAATTCAGGGATGCAAAGAGAACTGGAAAATAGAGGTTAGTTTCACCAGAACTGACCACAAAGTGGGGGGAGATCAACAGGTCAGACGAGAAATATTTAGACCGTCAAAGGGACCCCTGTCCCTGGTGGCTGTTGTTTGCCACCAACTGTTAAGAGGCCTAACAGAACAAGGGAGGTGGGATATTCAGAGATCTTGAATCATGATGATGCGCGTTCCCAAGGGATCCATCCTAGGACATCAGGGTTAATTATTGGGCATTGTTTCTATCGGGTCTTCAGGAAGGCTGTCACTCCTGGGACAGCAGGTGCCAGAAAAACGCTTGGGCCCTGGGATGCCAGGGCCGCTGGGTCATCAATTGGCATGCTGGCCACAGCCATGATTTCAGGGGTGAATGGACAGCAGGCTCGGGACACCCACAGTCCACTCACCATTGGAACTCTCTAGAAGAGTACCCACTTGAGATCCTATCAGGTTTCGGAGAGAGAGCTAACTCTCCTCAGGGAAATAGGACTCCAGGCTTCTGGTAATGGGAACCCTGGTTTAGTTGCTCCTTTTCTCTTTACAGGAGTCAACTCTCTCCCTGAAGACAATGGGATATTCCACCTCCATCCCCAAAGACTCCCCTCTGGGATGTACTTTGAGACACTGGGATCAGCTCCTATTAGAAAGCCTAAATAAGAAAATGCTTATTTTCTTTTGTAACATTGCTTGGCCACCATATAAGCTAGAGGGGAGGTCTGGTCAGAAAACGATAGTCTTAACTATAAAACCATATTGCAAGTCGATGTCTTCCATATGATACAAGAAAAGTGGGTAGAGATCCCTTCTGTCCAGGCCTTTATGGCCCTCAGGGATGCCCCTGACACATATAAAACATGCACAGTGGGAGGGGGTCATTTAGATCTTGGCCCCAAGAAAGGAATTCTTGCAGTAGCTCCCCTAGGAAACATCCCAACACCGTTGGCTCCAGCCTAAGCAACCAGTCCCCCACCCTAGCAACCAATCTACCCTCCTTGACCAGACTCAGGCCCAAAGAAAAAGTTCCTCTGCCCCCTCCAGGAGGTGGTGGGTGGACCTCAGGGGACCACAAAGACTCTCTGTCCCCTTTTTGATGTCAGATCTCAGGCAGTGCCATGAGTGTTAAGCCAGTTTTCTGAGGATCCCAGCAAATCTACTGAGAAATTCAGGAGCCTGACTCCAGTCTTTTGCTCTAACCTGGAAGGACCTTCTGGTCATTCTGTCCCATTGCTGCCATCCAGAGGAACCATTCCACATCTGGGCGGAAGAGGAAAACTTCATGCTACCCAGCCCAACAGATATCCTGGTTGGAATGACCTTCGTACCTCAGATAGACCCTAATTGGAATTATCAGCCTGGGCAGCAGGGACTAGCCCACATGGTACTATGCCTCCTGGAGAGCATGAAGAGGTGTATCATCAAACTAGTAAACTATGATAAGGTGAGGTAGATCACCCAAGGACCCAATGACAATCCCTCTCTTTTTCAGTCCCATCCAGTAGAAGGGCCACAAAAGTTCACCAATGTAGATCCAGATACGCCAGAGGGAAGGTTGGTCCTGGGAACTCATTTTGTAAATGAGGCAGGTCCAGATATTCGTAGAAAGCTCCAAAAGATGGCTTTAGGGCCCCAAACTCCCAATACAGGCAACTTTACTCCTTCATGGGCCAATCCTCCAACAAAGGTCCCAATATACAAAAAGGGAAATAAACTGGACTCAGCAGAAAGACTGCCAACTCCATTCTGAGGGATGGTGGACGCAAGACCGAAAGGTGATGCTTCCCTAGGCATCCCAATGGAAAATCATCAAGGGACTACATGACTTTTCTCATTTGGGAAGAGATGTATTAACCTCCTTAGTTAATAGAGTCTTTTCAGGAATTATCCTGTCATGGGTTATCAAGGAAATCACCAGGGCCTGTGACCTATGTCACAAGAACACCACTGGGGGAGGGTTTAAACCACCTCCACTTCTCTAGCTCATCCAAAGACAAGGCACATGGCAGGAAAGGACTGGCAGATAGACTTCACTCAGATGCCCCCATCTCAGGGACCTAAATACCTCCTGGTCTTTGGGGACACTTTCACTGGTTGGATAGAGGCTCATCCTGCTAGAACGGAAAAAGCTCAAGAGGTAGCAAAAGCTCTGCTAAAGGAAATTATCCCGTGCTTTGGGCTTCCAAAGTCTCGGCAAAGTGATAACAGCCCATCCTTTATCACAAGGGTGACTCAACAAGTGTCTTCTGCCTGAGAATTCATTACCACCTTCACGCTGCCTGGAGACCCCAATCCTTGGGAAAGGTCAAGAACGCTAATCAAATCTTGGCCAAACTTTGTCAGGTAACCTCAGAATCCTGGATAAAACTCATGCCTATAGACCTCCTGAGAATGAGAATGGCCCCAAAAAGGAACCTCCAACTCAGTCCCTTTGAAATGCTATATAAGAGGCCTTTCTTAACAGCAGATCTGCTGTTTGATTCAGAAGCTCACGATTATAAAACAT